GGAAATAAAAAAAAAAAAAAAAAGACAAAAAAAAAGGAAAAAAAAAAAGAATACGATTGAGAACATTTTTTAAAATGTGATTTAAGGTTGTAACTGGGCAACTTCATTAATAATGTCAACATCTCATGGTATTGTTCAGAGATTTATAAACTTAGTTTGCATGAAACAGTTTAGTCTAGCAAAAGTTCAAATATGTTACATATTATTATTATTCATAAAAATGCACCACTACTTCCAGAATGTTCAAAAAGAGTGGGAACTGCTATGAAAGAGAATTGTCACTACCTCTTATATTCAAAATGAATGTGAGACAGAATATAACATTCAAAAAATAAAATAAGCCAGTTCTGACTGATCAGAAGAAGATGTACTAAGTTGTCAGTACTGATTCAAAAATAGATTGTAATATTAGAATTATTCTTACAAAAACACATGAAGTTATTTGGGTGAAAAACTGAAATTGATAAACCAATAAAAACTGAACCATAAGAAGTTAGAATATTTCTTGGGGGAAAAAATGCAGCTGCTTTTACTTGCCAGTCCCTTCTAAGGTCTGGAAAGAGTATTTATAATATGCTCCTATATGTAATATCCACCAGTATTTGTGATATACCTATTTGCATTAAAAAATCAATTAACAGTCCAAGGATAGTTTTATTAGGTGTTATTGAAATTACCCTGAAAAAGAAATTCCTTATTTCTCTATATGGGTATTTATATGCATATCATTAATAAAAATAGGTAACATTTTTAGAGTGTTCTACGCTTTACAAATCACTGTGATATTTTATTTAATCTTCAGGAAATTCTAGAAGGCGGATATTATTATTACAAATGCAATAGGCTCAGTTTGAAGAAACTGGGCAGCAGCTGGAGAACTGTCCAAGGCTGCACAACTTCTGAATAGCTATAAAGTAAGACTAGAAACCCAGGGCCTCTTGATTCCTAGTCCAGTGCTCTTATCCTACATCTTTAAAAGCATCATGAGATCTATCTTCCAATAAGGCTCAATATTTATGAACATGAGCCTTGGATCTTTAAAAGCATCATGAGATCTATCTTCCAATAAGGCTCAATATTTATGAACATGAGCCTTGACGTCCCCAATAAGGCTCAATATTTATGAACATGAGCCTTGGATAACATGCATTGTTTGAGCCCTCATTTATTCAAACATGCTGTGTGAGCTAATTATACCATTAGACCTAAGTCTTCTCCTCTAAAAAAAAAAAAGAATAAAATAAAACCAGCTACCTCATACAGAGCTGTTCTAATGTTTTAATGGGATAACAGCGTATGTTATGCACTAAATAGGCTATAAATAGTCAATATTCTTTTTTTTTTTTTTTTTTTTTTTTTTTCTTTTTCCGTGTCCGGCAACGGATCGCAACCCCCAGTGTTGCCCCCCCACCAGACCGGG